GGCGGGCCAGCGCCAAGGAGCCGGCGGCGCCCATGCCGAGCGCAAGCGGGCGCAACCCGCGCTCTGGCTGCACCCAGAGCCGAAGCGCGCCTGCCCGGCAGCCCGGGGTGTCTGGGGGAGGTGTAGCCCTTGGCCCGGGGCCCGGAGGAGGGCGGCCCTTCCCGGCGGATCAAAGCCGCGCGACCTCCTCCAGAGCGGTGACCTCTGTGCTCCGGCTGGAAGGCGGTGGCTTAGCTTCCATCGCTCTTCTCGCCCACTGCGCGCTCCATTTCGGCAGGCGGCAGCTGCAAGGGACCTATTAATCTTTTACAGATTGGTGGGCTATTGACCTAACGTAAACTAGACAAAATACAAAATTAGCAGGACAAAGAGCAGGCAGAGGCCAGGTATCTCCGGGAGTAGGGGGTTGGCACAAAGTGGCCCTCACTTGAGCACCCAGTGCTCGCCACCGCGTGCGACCTACAGCACAGGGGCCAGGGGTTTACTATCAGGGAAAATCTGAGGACTGGGAGATGCTATCTGGTCCTCAGGGACTTGGAACAAAGCCAACAAGGGGCCAGAGGTGGCGGGTTTTTCCCGGTGAGAGCCCAAATGGGGCGCGGAGAGAGCACCCTCTACAGGATTAAGCACGCATCCCACTTCTCTGGGACCCAGTCTCAGAGCAGGCTCAGCGTTCACCAGGGTTGTGACAGGAATGTTGTAAAACACAACGCCCCGGCCTTTTCCCTGGCACCAGGGAACCTCTCCAGGTCATGCAGGCGCTGACGCAGTCACTAGTCATTCCAAGTCAGGTCACGTGTCCAACAAGGTCACCCATCACCCGTTTGATGTGCCTGCTGTCAAAGAAAAAGTTGTTAGAGACTGGTTAAAATGCGAAGGAATTTAAGACTATTGCTCCTCTAAGATCTAGAACTAGACAAGAATGCCCACTCTCCCCACTACTATTCATCATAGTGCTGGAAGTCCAAGTCAGAGCTATGAGACAAGAAAAAGAAATAAGACATTCAAATCAGACAGGAAGAAGTAAAACTGTGTCTCCAGAGGATAAGAACCTCTGGGTTTTAAAAACCCTAAAAGCTCCACTAAAACTGTTAGAACTAATCAGTAAATTTGCAGGATACAGATTCAATATACAAAAATCTGTTGCATTTCTATACACTAACAGAAAAATATCAGAAAGAGGAATTAAGGAAATAATCCCATTTCAATTTGCACTATAAAGAGTAAACTTTTTCCCTTAGCAAAAAAGGAGACAGCTCTCATCTGAAGATTGCCCACCTGTGTCTAAGCAGGCATCTTTTAACAAGTCTGTCTCTTCCAGACACCACTCTTTCTGCCTGCTTGTGTTTGAGCAAGCATCCTCCCCCCTTTTAATACAATAAATCTGCCCTTTTGGAAACTAATAAAAAACGGATAGGGCCCTTCCTGTTTGCACAACGGGTTAAAGCGCAGCACTATGAAGTTATTGCAGCCGCTTCATGGCAAACTCGATCCCCTGCCATGGAGCTGACCCACTTGGCATGGCAGACTTCTCCTGTCTCGCGCATTGATCCCCTCAGCAGGATATTTCAGTAGATCTGCCTTTTCTGTTCCTCACTCTCTGGTGAATCCTCTCATCCTTCACAACTCTGGCCTACATCCCAGCTCTTGTACGCATAAACAAAATAAATCTTTAAAAAAATGAATCACAATGATTGAGATACTAATAAAATGAGAAAAGCCATGGAAGCAGACACATAGGAAGAAAATGTGCAATGAGATTCACCTTTATTAATATCAAAATACAGATTTGTAAATGGATTCATTATTTCACTAAAAATTTTGTTTAGTCATACCAAAATAGTTCATTCTGTTACAAAAATTATTTGCACCTGAAACATGTTTATACATCCTTCCTCCCACTCAGACTCTCAAAATTCCATTCTCTTTTCAATTACAAATTCTTTGTTGTGATTTTTGGCATTCCATGTGCTGTATTTAGCAGTGACACATTATTTTTACAAGGCCTAAGAGAGGTAAGATTGAGTATAAAAACAAAATCTATGAAATAATTTTATACTCAAGTTCAAGAACACATGAGCAAAAAATCTTAGTACACAACAGTGCAATAACGAATCATCAATCAGAGTTTGTGAGTGTGTTAACATATGAAATTATTTCCAGGAAACTTGGCTCCCATTCTTCATAAACACAGAATGATAAAATGTGGACATTTAAGGATTTTTTTAATCTTGTAGCTGTTTAGTTGATTCTTTAAACTTTCTTTAGTCATCAAGATTAATGTCAAGAATTGAAGAAGTATAATAGCTACAGTGATATTCAAAATAATTTTATAGGTAACCTTATTTATGTAAAGTCTTCATTGCTTAAAAGTGATATACCTTCTTATTCCCAAAGCAACTCTAAGACTTTTTTTTCTTGAACTTGGAGCATGCTTAATTCTAAAAACAAAGAGATTTATTTCAAAGGTAAAAATCAGAAACAAGAGATTCATTTCAAAAGTAAAGATGGTCCAGATAGTAGGGCAAGGATTCGCCCACATGTTGCTGCTTTGGTCACATTCCTCATCAGAGCCTCTGGATGCTGAAACCTGAATAAATGATAGGATCCTCTGGTTATTTGGGAATTTCTCCTACTATTCATAAACAGTGTAAACACCCACAAAACATCCACTTATTGAGGTTAAAATGCAAGAAATATAAACTATGTCCTATCTGTAAAGATAGTCTCTCACCCAGAAAATAAAGGACCAGAGTGAAGAGCCTTACACCATATGCTAAAAACAACCCTTCAAAATGCAGTGGGTCAAAATGCAAAAATATATCCCCAGACCTTCTGGGTCAATAATTCCACTGCAGGAATCTAACTTATAGAAAAACGCAATTTTCAAAAATTCTGCATACGAAGATCAAGTACAATGTGATTTATAACAAAATTAGGTAGCCTGAGCATCAGATAGTATAAAACAGTGTTTTAAAAGTTGTCATATGGGGGCCCTCCCTGATGGCACAGCGGGTTAAAGCACTGCACTAAGAAGCTGAAACCTCCTGCCCCGGGGGTGACCACATCGTGTGGTAGACCTCTCCTGACCCACTGCTGCCCTCAGCAATGTACTTCGTTGATCTGCCTGTTCTGCTCCCCACTCTGTCTCTGGTGAAGTCTTTCGCCACCCCTGAGTCTCTGGCCTGTTATTTTCTAAAGCCCAACAAAGATGTATCATCAGAGAGGAAACCTCTCAGTGCTTCTGGGGGGTTAGAGGCAGGGAAATCCCCCTAAGGGAATGGGGCTCCTGAAGAAGCAGGGTCAAAGCAGGAGAGCATCGGGAAGGGCCCAGGTTCCTGCAGTAGGTCGGGGGTGGGGCAGGTACAAAGCCTATGGGATCTTGGTCGCCTCCCTCTAGTATCCCCCCACAAAGGATCACAGGGAAAAATCAGCCATTTTGATCATTATTTGGGCTTACCCTCCACAGCTACTTTTACCTGAAAACTGACACTCAAGAACCTACTCTCTCTGGCCACCTTCCTCCCCTCCATCTTCCTCTCCTGCTAGACCCCAAAGGGTTCACCCTCTTCAGCTTCCATGACCTTCAACCCCTAGAGCACTCTCCTGAACTTCCTTCTTCACAAGATCAGGTTCCATCTGTATCCTCAAGCTTTCTTCCACCACACCCTCCAGAACAAATTTCCTTCTCTTCTGAATCCACAGAGCTCTGAATCTTTGCCCAAGTGCTAGTTATTTCCTTACAAATGATGGAAAGGGCTTTGAACTCCTCCCAGCTCCTTTGCCCTGAGACAGTAGATCTATCTGAGCCATTGCTTCTTCTCTCAGAAAATGTGGCTTATCATCTATAAATCACCCAAAAAGATTATAAAAGTTAACTTATATCTTAAGGTCTTTCATACCCAAGGTTTCCTAGGGAGGCAGGACAATGGGAAATCTGAGCCTGAGAGAACCACATGTGTCCTTTACCTTCATTCATTGTTAAGTAGGACTGATTCAGTGGTCCCAGACAACAATAGGGAGGGCCCCTAATTACTAAGGTACCTTAGAGGCCATTGGGTTCCCACAAGACCAGACAACCTGAAAGAACGAGGCTCAGGCCAAGATCCAATCTAGGCCCAGTGACCTAAACAACAAGCAGCTCACAGGATCAATTTCACCCAGGCTAACTGACTCCATCTTGGTCATCCTTCCTAAGCCTGGAAGCTTTTAGAAATGGCAGGAACCTAGGGCATAACATTTTTTTTCTCTGGGACTCACCGTATTTCATCAAACTCAGAATATAGTGAGCACTAGCTGCCTCATTATTTTATGCACCATTATGATTTATTTTAAGGAGCCCTGTTTTAAGAAGTGTTCTGATTTCAGAGATGCTAAGATGTGGAGTCTTAGAATTTATGTGGTTATGGTTGTATAGATGCTTCACCATAATAGACAGTCAACAGAGATTGTATTTGCACACTTGGGGCCAGAGTTGTCTCATCCCTATATCCACTGTGGAATCAGTCACGAAGTCCTACCCAGAGTCACTGTTGCAATGACAGTAAAAATCACAGTGATGTTTTCTGAGCCCTTTCTCCATTTCCCTGACAATGTTGCAACTTGATATGAATTAGTCCTCAAGACAAAATATTAGTTGATCCTTTTTGGTGAGTAGTATTCTGGCTCCACTGTACAGATAAGGGGACTCAGGCTTTAGAGAGGTTTAATCATTCAACCAAGTTTTGAAATGGAGTTACTGGGATTACAGCCCAAAGACTACCCCATTTAATTCAAATAAGATCCACTGACTGCTAGTTTCAGACCCACGAAAACCACTGTGTTAGGTGAGAAGGATGGTTGAGAGATGTGGCGATAGGTAACAGGAGAACTGGATTATGAGTTTATGAGAAGAATTTACTTAAAAGCTTCAGCTTGAAGTCTTCCAACTTTTTTTTTTTAAGATTTATTTATTTATGCATACAGAACTGGGGTACAGACAAAGGTGCAGGGATGGTGAGAGGCTTCACCAGAGACAAAGTAAGGAGCAGAACAGGCCGACTGATGAAGTACACTGTTGAGGGGAACAATGAGGGGGTCAGGAGAAGTCTGCCACGCCATGTGGATCACCTTCTGGGTGGGTGGGGTTCAAACTCATGTGAAAGGGGCTTTAGCTTCTTAGTGCTGTGCTTTAAACCCCCTGCACCACCAGGGAGGGCCCCCAACTAACTGTCTTTCCTACACTTTGGGCCCCAGAAGTCAGGGTTGAATTTTGTTTTGGTGTAATCAATGGGACAATATTATTTTCTACCCTGTGGTTCTAATTCCAGGCAACTTGAGGGGTTGACTGTTTTCATACTTTAAATCACACTTTAAAACACACATTTAGGCCATCTCTGGTGGTGCAGTGGGTTAAAGCACAGTGCTGAGGAGCTAAAGCCACTTCAGCATGAGTTCATCCCCACCTGCCCTGGAGGTGACCCACATGGAGAGGCAGACCTCTTCTGATCTGCCCACCCACTACTCACCTCAGCAGTGTATTTCGTCAATCCCTGGTGAATCCTCCCACCACCCCTGCACCTCTAGCCTGTACCACAGTTCTGTATGCTTAAATAAATAAAAAAGCACATTTAATTAAACACAATTGAGTTAATATTTTTCCAAAGTGGATTTTTAATTATTTGAGACTTCTCCCTTGACTTTTCCACCAGCATCGAAAGAATAAAGGCCAAACTCTGAAGAATTGCTCCCCTTCAATTCCTGATTCATTTATATCATGCCTTGGTGACCTGGAAACAAAAGCCTGTCTTTTTGTAGAAGCTCTTGCACCCACATAATAAATAGAAAATTGTGACCACTCATTCTCCCAACTGTTAGAGCAGCAGCATACAAAAAAAAATTTTAACATAAGAAAAAGTGGCCTGGGCTTCAACGCACTGAATTCCAGAATAAAGTGGCCCTTTACCATCACAACACCATCCGATACACAGGGTCTCCAACTTTCAGGTTCCCGATTTTTTCCACAGAATAATACATTCCAAAAAGTGGAGACGATTTGTACACTGACTTCTCCGAAGGGTCACACAGTGGGTCACACAGGCGGTAGCTGAAAAGAAGGAAAAATTGACTACCAGGAATGAAAAGGAAATAATCGATGTACTTTCCCTGCAATTCAAGTTTACATTCCCAGGTTATCGAGAAAATAAATATAAGTCTGTTTCTCCCGCAAACAATGGAGGGAGAAACTGCGCATTTACACAGACTTCAAATAACCCTGATTTTCTAGAGGTATCCGAAAAGCCTAAACAATGTTTTCATGGTGTCAGTGGAATTACATAAAGAAAAAATTATAGGTGTTACTCCAAATGTTTCCATGCACCCCTTGCACAAGATATCATAACATATGCTCATGTATTCTGCAAATGGATCTCTGTGGGAACTCTCCACACCCTATTTAATGCATTTAAGAGAATTTCTATTCCTTCCAAGTTCATAAGCCCAGGGATGAACAAAATAATTAAGTTGGAGACATAAGCACATGGGCTGGACTCTCACTGAACTGATTCATTTCAAAAGATGAGTCTAATTGGAAGGAAAATCTGACTTCACTGCACCTTAAAAATCAAAAGTCAGTGTCTCCTTCATGGCCTAGGAGTTAAGTCTCAGTTCTATCATCACTACAGCCAGAGTTCCATCCCTAGCCAGGGAGCTAACCCACATAGTGCAGCAGACCTCTCCTGACCTGCACACTGCTTCCCTCAGCAGTGTATTTCAGCAGATCTGTCTGTTCTGCTTTCCACTCTGCTGCTGGTGAATCTTCTCAACCCCTGCACCTCTGGCCTATACCCCAGTTCTTCTACGCAAATTAAAAAAAAAACAAAAAAAAAACCAAAAGCCAAACCAGAATTGTACACCTGAAATGCTCGAGGAGGAATCTGATTCATCAGAGACAGACAACAAAACAGAAGAAAGGAAAATGAAATTGAGGCATCTGCTTCCAAAGGCTAACCTGGGTTAAGGTATTTTAAGCTACATTAAAACACATCCTCTCTTGAGACCTCAGGTCAGGCTAAAATTCTCTAAATAATAAGACAAACCACATGAAAACCCTTTGGCACCAGAGACTCCCAAATAAGTAAGTTCAGACAAGCCTTTAATGTCCACTTCTTCTACTTTTTCATTATACAACAACAATTATTCTCATTTTCCTCAGTATTGATTCTACTGCAGAAAGCTGAGTTCCAATAAAAATAAAATATTTTCAGTCTTTAGAAATACACATTTAAAAAAATTGGGCCCTCCCTAGTGGGTCAATGGGTTAAAGTGCAGCACTGCAAGTGAATTGCAGCCATTCCAGTGTAAGTTTGATCCCTGGCACCAGAGGTGACCCAAAAGGCAAGGCAGACCTCTCCTGACTTGCCCACTGCTCCCCTCAACAATGTACTTTGTCAATCTGCTCCCCACTTTGTCTCTGGTGAAGTTTTCACTGCTCCTGCTCCTCTGGCCTGTACCCCAGTTCTGTATGCATAAATAAATCTTTTTAAAAAAGGAAACACATTAAAAAAATAACAAAAGCTGATTTGAGAGGCATTTGTGTACGTGGCATTACACAAGTAGAAATGCACCAAAAGCACAAGAAAATCCATCCAGAAAGCAAATCACTCACATTAACAGACAAGAGCTAGACAGAACCAAAGGGGGACAGAGGCCCTCCCTTGCAAGCCGCACTGGGTGGGCACACTGAAAACACAGGCGACACTGGCATTGTACCTCTTCAGGGTCTCCAGAGGCTCCTTCCTATCAATCACTCCTGTATCCGGGTCCACCGTGGTCATAATACACCTTCAGAGTGATAATCAGGGGAGAGGTGATGGTTAGGAGCTGACGTGCACGCTACTACACCCAGAGATCAAGTCCCCTGGGAAGACTTACCTAGGGCAAGACAAAATCTTCTTCATTTCTACACTGCCAATAAGGAGTTCATCCCAGGTATCCTAGGAGGAAAGGGGAAATTGTCTTTTGAACGAAGACTTCATTGGTCTTTAGAGCAGTTTATTCTAGGGCTGGTATCCTGGACAAAGAGGGGAAAGTAATGACAGGTGCCAGGAAGTCGCTATCTAAAGCACTCAAAAATGGAGAGAGGGGGCTCTCTCTAGTGGCTCAACAGGTTACAGTGCAGCACAGCGAAACTGGCCGCACCCACTTTAATGCAAATTCAGTCCCTGGCCAGGGAGGTGACTTGTTTTGTCCACTGCTTCCCTCAGCAGGGTTCTTTGTCAATCTGCCTGTTCTGCTCCCCACTCTGTCTCTGGTGAATCCTCTCATCACCCCTGCATCTCTGGCCTGTACCCCAGTTCTGTATGCATAAATAAATCTTTTTTTAAAAAAAAAATGGAGAGAGGTAGGGAAGTTCTTGAATACCAACAAATGGTAAAAGAACTAGAAGACAGATCTGAGGCAGGTATAAGACAGTTGGCAAAAAAGCCTGTGTGGTTTGCTGAGACAATGAGCTAGCCAAGGAGTTATCCTGAAAAACATAAAATTTCAGGTCAGCAATTCAAACCAGCTAAACAGCTATAGAATCTTTGGGCCCCTGAGCCTCAGGGGCTGCTCCAACCCTCATTCCACCTGCTACTGCCAACTTTCCAGCCTTGGCACCTCCAAACCCCAGTCTCAAGGTCTGTGTGTGCCCCTTTTCTCAGCTCCCGATTTCTAATTGCTGTTAGTAAGTTCATGATATTGTGTTGTACAGACAACTGTTAGAAGCTATTTTAAGGCAAATAGAGGGAAGGACTACATAAATAAATTAACAACATTATTTAGAAATTCTTAGCAAATTTTCTCATTTGGTATCAGTGTTCCTACATAATGACAAGAATGTGAAAGTCATCTACTAGAGATCAGTGAAATACCAATGGGATATATGTACCATGGTAACTGAGCATTAGAAAGGAGGGTGTAAATCTGCATCTACTAACATGAATAATGGTCAAGATGCTGCTGAGTGTAGCGAGCACATCTCTGAGTACAAGTGGGGGTACCTCCACTTATGTCAAGGCCTCTGTCTAGAGAGCTACTTGCAGATATTTGAAACAATACAGTGGAAGGCTCTTCATCACACTGAAGTATGATCTGCTTCTTATACAATTTTTTTTCATTTTTCTTGTCTGCTTTATTTTTCATAAGAAGCAAGATCCTTCTAACCACACATTTGAAAAACCATTTTGGTCTAGGAAGTTCCTCTGATTCTTTCTGATACCAAGTAGGTGGTCTCCTTTCCAGCACCAGATCTGTAATTCTCACAACACCTCCACTTCAGCACTTAACTGCCTTTGGTTAGCCCTCAGGCCTACCCCCAGTACCACACAACCCAAGTCCCAGTCTTCCACCAGCTATTCTTCAAGAGTGCATGACCCCTGTCTCAGATTTGACATTTTGCTAGAAGCTCAGGACCCTAAAGGACACTGTTCAGGAACAAACAATTAGAAAAGACACAAAAAGTGAGTTCTGGTGGGAGAGCTTGGGGCTTTCCAGCGGTGTGTGTTCACCAGCTTGGGGGCTCTCCAAACTCCCCTCCTTTCCGGGGCTTTCTGGCAGTTTCACTCAGTAGGCACAGTTGATTAGGTCACTGGATGACTGTCACTGAACTCAACCTCCAGCCTTTCTTGAAGATGATGGGGGGAGGGAAACCTAAAAGTTCTGACTTTTCATTCAGGCTTGATCTTTCTGGGGACCAACTTCCATCTAGAAGCTATTTAGCCCTTACCCCGAAACCCACCTCCGACATACACTGAGCAACACAGCAAGGGGACTGTTAAAAATCCAAGGGTTTTAGGAATTGCGGGACAAAGACCAAATATGTATTTCTCATTATACCACACAGTTCTCTCAAACCCAAAACCGTTCTACTATATATTAGTAAAATAATATCCCTTAGCGTTCTATTCTAAAACTTCATCACTCCCCTTTAAAGCAATCCTGTTGGGATCCTTTTATGACTGACCCTACACACCCTGTATCCAGTGCTCCTTTCTCTGGGATCACCCTCCATCTTCTGAACCCTGGGGCTGCCTCACCCTGTAACCCCCACAGAAGGCACAGCTCAGATATTAGCACCAGAAATCTTCAACACAGGGTAAATGTCTGCTGCCAACTTGGACATTCCAGGAACTTGACTAATGAGTGGTATAAACTAGCAGGAAATATGTTTTCTTAACAGAAGTAAAATTCTATCTTGTGGATCGGTGAACACAGACTAACCAGTTTATATAAGATGCTGCTTTTCATTTATCAGATAAGTAAGGATTATAGGATTCACTACTGGCAAGACAAAAAGGAAAGTAATATGTCTCTGCTCAGTGCCTGGGAATATAATCTGGCACGAGGTTTCTGCAAAACAACTTGACAATACATATGGAGAGCCTTAAGTGCTGATTTCGCATTTGCTGAGAATAACTTTAGAAACACAAAGACCGTTGTACAAAGTGGTTCATTATTTATTGTAAGGGAAAATGGGGCACACACGAAATGCCGGGCTGTAAGGGAATGGCTAAATAAGTTACTGCACAGTTTGCTGCCTGAAAATAAAGCCTCAATGAGAGTTTGAGAGTTTATTGGATAATCAAAGAGAGGATTTGAACCCAGAAGCAGCACGTTATTTTTTTTTTTACTTCTCCAACAAACAGAAGTTGAAATTTAGTTGACTTAAGTAAAAAGCGAGTCACTTACTTTAAAAATGCAATTATTCTTGACAGTAGTACTCAGGTTCTAAGTTAGCTTGATCTAAAAATATGCTGATGCTAAGAACTGAGGGAAGGACTTTATCTCTTTCTGTCTAAAGAATGCATAGGATGCAAAGGTGGAATACCCATTGTTAAATCTTCTTTATCAGCTCCTGGATCTTGGAGTGGGGGGTGGATACCGCCTCCACCCTGGAGAGGTAAAGAAGGTTAAATGAGATGCATATCCTGTAAGCATCTGATGATCACTAGAAGCCATTTATATTCTTTTTTCTAGTAATTATTATATGCCTGCTCTGCATATGGCAAGGGAGAAACTTTTTTTTTAAAGATTAATTTATTTATGCATACAGAACTGGGTACTGACCAGAGGTGTGGGGTGGGGGAGGGGAATGAGAGGATTCACCAGAGACAGAGTGGGGAGCAGAACAGGCAGTTATAATGAAATTCACTGCTGAGGGGAGCACTGGAGGGTCAGAAGAGAGCTGCTGCGCCATGTGGGTCACCTCCCTGGCTGGGGATAGAACTCCTGCAGTGGCTGCAGTAATTTCATAGTGGTGTGCTTTAACCTGTTGTGGTACCAGGGATGGCCCAAGATAGAAACTTCTTATGTAGGCACTCAAATAAAGTCCTAACTCATCCCACACCAGGTTACTGGAGACTAGCTGTTGATAACAACTTTCAAAAATTTGCTTTTTCAACTGCTGCAAAAGATAGTCCCCAGGATCACATAACTGGGGTAGGGTAGAGCTAAGCTTCTCTGCAGCCTCCTGACCTCAAATCCATGGCCTCTCTAGAAACCTCTTGGAGAAAGAAGCACTTCCTAAGCAACAGACACCACAATCAGGGGTTTCTGCAAGTTTCCATACTGCTCTGCTGTAATGTGGAGCGAGGAAAAAGACAAATAAGACAACCCCAAATATGTCTAGTCCTGTTCACCAGAAGAGGGGGTAAAGTGCAGGTAACACTGACCCCACCTTGGGCAATGCAGAGATAAGCAGGGGTCAATTGTATCATTTTAAATCGTAGTTGCTTTGCATTCCCAGAGCTGCCAGTTTTCAGTGTTCCATAGGAAAATGCAGTCCTTTGGGTCTGCAGTAAAGATGTGCAAGGCACTATTGCTTACATTTTTGCAACAAATAATGCCTGAATTTTTGCATCATGCTTAGCTCTGCTTGTTTTAATTATTACTTGGTCTAAATACTGACATACATCATTTGACAATAATATTTAATTTAAGCCCCACTAATTGAAAGGGTTCTTGCTGGCTATCGTTTATGCATCAGGTACCTTCTTAGTTCTTAGCTACTGGGATTCCCAACTTAAGGAAATAAGGAAATAAAACCAGTAACACTGGTACTGTTTTATCATAAGGCTAGTTTGAGGACTTTCTCAGAAAAAAAATATGAGTGTTCTACCTTGTTTAATATGTCTATAAACTTACTGGTGAACAGGAATAAAACTACCAAATAGACTTGGTAGCACAAAGTCATATAAATTTTATTAGTGAGTTTAAAAAGACTCCATTCAATTGTCTGAGAACAGAGTCAGGTTTACATTATCCTTTAGGTCCATTTCAGAAGAGAAACAAGAACAGCTTCAGGTTGAAACAACAATCTTTCCTCCTTACTCTAATGGCTCAAGATGGTAAACAAAAATTCCTAGCAAAACAATTTGTTCTTCTGTGAAGATAAAGCAAGAAAAAATTTATTCCTCAAACAAATTTTCTCAGAAAATAATGCACCAATTCCAGGATTCTTGTGAAAGAATTTTTACCTCATGTACTAATTTCTAATCCTGTCATGAGTGACATGCATTAACTCTGACCACTAATTTCACTCCCCAATACTGGACTAGGAGGAGATGGGTGGGTTTCCTGGGGAGCTAATGAAGCTTGACTATCAGGTTGCACTGACTTGTGCCTGACCCTTTCAAGCACCTGCACCTAATGTTATTATTTAAATACTGCTTAAATGTGGTTACTTAAAATAAAAGCTTCTTAAAAAGAGAATTTCCAGCTTGTAGAAACTTCAGGTGCTGCCAAGCCTGGATTAGCTGGAGAAAGATGGATCCTGTCCTTCAAGAGCCACAGGCCTGAGAGCAGCATCCCTTCTTCCCATCCCCCTACTCACATCCACACCTCACCTCTTCTTAAGTCAGAGCTTGTCCAGTTACCCATCATAGGAGAGTCACCTGGATGGTGCTATCTACAAAGAGGCGAGAGCTGGTCACTACTCTGATGTGGAATTGAGAAGTTTTCCCAGAAAACCCCCTGCTGCTAAGGGTGTTCCTACCTCAGCTGAAAGCAAATCATATCTTCCCCTTCAAAATCACTACCAGCTCCATAATAGATACCCACAACATAGAATCCAGTATTCTATGGACAGAAAGGCCACAGCCTCCCTCTGCCACTTGGCCTTTCCCCACCATGCACCTGTGATTCACAAATGCCCCACACATCCTGAAATGCTGTGGCCTCCATGAGGCTTATTTATAATAAGAAACATGCACTTAGTCTTTATGGGTGTTCATCCATTTCGGGCAGAGCTCCTAAAACCCTCAATATTTCCTGTGATGAGATCCAGAAAGGTGTCTTTTATTAATAGGGTGACTTTTGAATCCCACCTAAAAGGGGTGCTGCTTCCCAGCAGAACCAATGAAGAGATCAGAGACTGGAACTGCCAGTCCCACCGCCACCCTCTGGAAGGGGAGAGGGGCTCAAATTGGGGTTTAATCACTACTGGCCAATGACTTAATTAGTCCTGGCTTCACTAATTGAAGCCTCCATAAAAATCCAGAAGGATGGTGTTTGGGGAGCTTCTGGGTAGGTAAACACATTGGAGATTTGGGGAGAAATCATGGATATTCCATGTCCTTTCCCTACCTCTCGCCCTCTGCTATTCCATCTGTCCCTGAGTTAGACCCTCTTATAGTAATCATGACCTGGTAAGTAAAAAGTTTCTCTGCATTCTTCATGCCACTCTAGCAAATTAATTACAGGCAGAAAACCCAAGGAGGGGGTCATGGAAATCTCCAATCTGCATCTGATTGGTCAGAAGCCAGGTGACAGCCTGGACTTGAGACTGGCCTATGAGGGAAGGTGGGGGGATGATCCAGTTCTGAGCACCATGCCTGAAGCAGGAAGTACTTACCTCCTCGAAAGCATCGCAGCCTGTCACCACAATGTTTGGCCTGAAATTTTCCATTTTCACTTTCTTCTCCAACCTGGTGTTCAGATCGGCCAGCGATGCTTCTGAGAGAATCATGACTGGGCTGCAGTCTGGGTAGGCCACCTGTGCCAAGAATGAAGCCCCTTTAGGCCTCTTGACCCAGGAAAAGCCTTCCACCCACTGTACTGCCAGGCCAAGTCTAGGAAGAAAGGCAGGTGATGCTGTGGGCTTGCTGGGGGTGGTGAGGAGGAGGTGCGGGAGGTGGGGCTAGAGCCAGTGCCTCAGCTGGGGTAGCAGGGCTGAGCCTGCTGGCCAAGGAAGGCCTCACCTTCCTTGATTCTCCCACATCCTCCTCACACTGGGTGGGGGAGCTGCCAGTCAGCTAGCTCTAGGAATCACTTCCTTTACTACCATGCAGTCAGGCAATGTGCATTTTACTCTGTGTCAGTTCTAGGTGGGTGAACAAAACAGCAGTGAACAAAAGCAGATAAAACCCCTTCATTCAGGAGGCTTGGTGGACATCCCTGGGGGTGACTTGCATTTTAAATTTGTCTTTCTCAGTGATCAAAGTTGTTGGTGTTGGGTCACAGCGGACACCAGGGCAGTTTCTTTAGAAAGAAACTTCTCAGCGCCCGACATAGGAACACCAGAAGGAAGGGCCTGGAGGTCCCGTTTTGTAATTTTAGGAAACCTGGATTAAGCCCAAACAAACTTCTCACTTTCAACTGAGTTTTCTCCTGACTGTCTCCATGGGGGTCACCCCCCAGGAGGGACAGGGTTCACCCTCTGTAGTATCACATCCTATCCTCCCTGCCTCCTGGGGCCCAAGCTGTCAATCCACTTTCCATCCCCCATCCCTGCCCCAGGAGCACCCCCACCCCCTGGGTTACCCTATACCCTCCTACCAGGAGCCCCCAGGGGGGAAAGCAGGAAGAGGGAAGGGACTGGCAGAAGGGAGGGCAGCTCCCATCAGCTCACCTGGTAATTCTGCACAAAATCAGTAAGAATTTCCCTTGACGGTCTTCCCTTCATGTTTTTTTCAAACTGAACCAGCCTGAAAGCTTCTGTTTTCAAGAAGTTAGTGAACCACTGAGCCGCTTTGTCTCCACAGTCCCTGCCCTGAATGTCATGACCAAATAGCCTGGAAGGTCACAGGAGAGTCACAGGGTCACTTTCGCACATCAATATGAGTACTATATAGCAAAAATGAAACAGCCAACTCTTGGGGCCTAAGGGTCCCAGAAGGGGCAATGGATAGTCCTTGAGCCACAGCTGGGTAAAACTGGGGTGAGAGGAGCAAAATGCATTCCAGAGGAGAGCTCTTCAGAACCTACTATGCCTGCAGTTCCGATGCACCTGAACTTGGGGTCTAGCAGACCTGGTTCTGCTGGGAGCTCCGTCATTCTCTAGTCCCTGATTGCAACATTTAACTCTTTTGACCTTGTCTGTGGCTATATATTGGAGACAATAATGTAGTCCCAGCCCTACTAGGTGGAGAGAGACACCATTAGATAACACAGTGGTCTTCATAGGGCTCTTGCTTGAGCATCCATAATACTGTCAAAAAGCTATGTACCCCTTGCACAATTGTAACACTTTTCCCATAGGACAAATTTGTTGTGAGAGATGTCATTTCCATTAGATAGTAAATATTAAGATTTAAAATAAAATTATTATTATAAAGTATAGTCAATTTTATATTATTGTAGATATATAAATAATATCAGAATAAAATTATGCTTTTAAATGTATGCAGTAGAATCCTAATTTCATAATAATGTGCCATCCACTCCAATCCATTTAAATCACATATGACTGGGCCCTCCCTGGTGGTGCAACAGGGTTAAAGTGCAGCACTATGAAGCTATCCATAGCCACTGCTGCCTGAGTTCAATCCCTGGCCAGGGAGGTGACCCACATGGGGCAGCAGAGCTCTCCTTACTTCTGCAATGAATGTCAATGGATCTGACTGCTCTGCTCCCCAGTTTGTCTTGTGGATCCTCTCACTCCCTGGACCTCTAGTCTGCACCCCAGCTCTTGTATGTATAAATAAATAAATCTTTTTAAAAGTAATGTTTAAAATTAATATCACATATTAGTAGGAGAAAAGAATTCATTTAATTACACATGTATGAAGAATCTACATGAATGTAGATTCTGAAGACAATGGGCTGAAGGGGGCACATATCTTGAGCTAAGGAGTGAGGCAGGGGCTGGGACTTCAAGGAGAAAGGAGAGATGGCCCCATGCCAAAGAAGATGAATCATATAACAACGACTAGATGCTCTGTAATTAGGTGTTTGCCTGATGTGTAGATTAGGCTTTTTTAGACAGAAAGGCTATTTCTTGTAAAAATCCTACTTCATTAATTTTCATTCTCCTAGGTAGTTAAGACAGTGGTAAATATTTCTCATGGGCCTACAGGTTCTCAGCTCATATAAGCACCAAATAACCCTCATGCCAACCGACATGGTCTGGACATCTTGGGGAGGTCTGTCCTTTGTTGGTTACTCCCAAGGGGCCAGATACCAGGAAAGTACCTGAAGCATTTCTGCTCATCGTATTTCTTACATTATGTACTGTGCTACATGTTTGTTTCATTATTATGTGTTATAACTTACATATACATTATACATTCTTCAGTTCAAATATTTACTAATGTTGTCAATTGGCCTTATGCCCTATACTTGAATAAAATCTAACTGGAGAAACTTCTTTTCAAAAGGAACTAATATCTCAGTTATAAAGAAATTAAACTTCTGTTGGACTGTCCAGGTTTGAAGTAATTTCTTCTTTCCTCCCACATTAAAACATAAGCTCTGGGGCCCTCCCTGATGGCGCAGCGGGTTAAAGCACAGCAC